CTAGACTAAAACTAAAATTAAAACAGGCCACCAAAAACAACACTATGATGCACCCTACATTAGCATTAGCATCTTTACAGTTCCAATAGAATCTAACATTAGAATGTGGCTAACGATGCAACACCCATTTACAATAATTTATAGGATTGTACAGTTTTAAATTTTTTTATGTTCTCTCAGGCTCACTTAAACTGCATTTATTTGATCAACAATACAGTGAAAACAGTAATATTTGCAAAATGTTTACAGTTTCCTTTTGAATATATTTTAAAATGTAATTTTTTCCTGTGGTGCTCCGGTAACATTTCTTATTATTATCAATGTTGAAAATAGTTGTGCTCTGTACTGTTTTTGTGGAAAATGTGTTTTTTTTTTTTTCAGGATTCTTTGATGAACAAAAAATTCAAATGCACAGCATTTATTTGAAATAGAAAAGTCTTTACTGCCACTTTTGATCAATTTAATGCATCATTTGCTAAATAAAAGTACCGTAGTAATTTCTTAATACATTTGTATATATAATTTTTTTTCTCACCTATAATATACATTTCTCTCACCTTTATTATTTTTTTTACATTCGGCACATACGTAAGCCGTTTTCTTGTTTTCTGAGGATCAAACCCATGATCTTGGTGTTTCTACTGTCACCAGATAAGCTGGTTTTAATGAAGTGCATTCTGGGATTTCCTTCATTATGAAGAGAATGTGAGTCTGTGAGTCTTCGAGCAGCGTCCCCTTCCAACAAAGCACAAAATGCTGATCCAAATACATTGTCTCAATTTTGAATAGTATGTCTGTTGTTCCCTTTCAGTCAGTCACGTTCTACGTTACGTCAGTCGTGACTGACGAATTGGGATCTCGCCCGAGAGCCCAATTTTTTTTTACATTCGGCACATACGTAAGCCGTTTTCTTGTTTTCTGAGGATCAAACCCATGATCTTGGTGTTTCTACTGTCACCAGATAAGCTGGTTTTAATGAAGTGCATTCTGGGATTTCCTTCATTATAATGGATACATGCTGATGAAACTTTTTATATTTAATTTAATAGCAAAATTAGGACTGTGCCTATGACGGTCAGCTCAGGAGGTTTTGTAATAGAGCTATAATCTATCATTTCTGTCCCCTGTCCGCATTCAAAATGATGTTCATTACCTTGTCATCGTTTAGCTTCAAGCTACAGTTCGCCATCACCTCCGACTTCCCACACTCCCTTTCTGTGTGTGTCCTTTTAATGTAGCATAAGAGTAGAAAACCTGCGAACAGTTTCGCCAGCTCTCCGAACCTAAGTGTTGTTGTGGCGGAAGGGATGGCGGGCGGCTCGGTTCCGCCTGCTTGCCTAGAGTCTGTCCCCAACTCCCCCATTCACCACCATGAGCTCAGGTCTAACAATCTTCCACCCCCTCCAACCCCTCCACCTCAGGCCGACTCCACCTGGAGGTGAGATTGTCTGAGACGTCCTTGTCCTCACAAGAGACATGCTTAAAACCACAGAACTGTCTTGCCATTGGTCGGATCACACGGTCTCATTCCTAACAGTAGAAAAACCGTCAGTCTGTCTGTTTATTGGACGTTTTGATACGAGAACACGGCTATGTGTGTCCCAGTGAATTGTGGGTATGCTTGTCACACTCCTTAATGCATCTTGCCGGCAAATGGCACACATTAAAAGTTTTTGTACTTCATGCTACTTTGATGTGCATGATAAATTGTATGTACCAATGTCCTTATTGTGTCGAGTTCGACAAGAATAATCACAAATCGGACTGAAAGTTCACATAAACTGTGTGTGAGCATGCAGTTGATGTCATCACATATCAGTCACGAGTATGGCTCCGCCCATTAGCCGTACTCCGCCCTTCACATTTCATGCATTTGTTGTTTTGTGGTTTTAAAATGAGCTATTCAAATGATGAGCAGCTATTCTTGGTATTTCTTGTCTAGTGAAAATCAAGCACAGGAACTTTGGGCTGAGAGATAATATTAGACCGTTTCTGGTAGAGGGGCATATTTTATTTATCATTTAAAAGGAAATAGCTCAGCAGGGTGCCTGTGATTCATTTGATGCTTGAACAAGGAGGGCAGCTTCCTATTGGTCAGGAGACACTGCACTGTGTGCTGCGGTAGTAACAGACATCAAATTTTAGGATCATTCCTACTGTCACCAAAAAAGCAAAGGTTACTTGACTATAGTATTGACTACTATAGGGACATAATGTAAATACATGTGTACAGTGGCCACAAAAAATATTTAGACACTCTTATGGATTGGATGTATTGCCCTATTGAAAATATGAAATATGAATTAATATTTAAATAAAAAAATTCACATATAAATAAAATATTTAAATATCTACCTATTTTTCCTCATTATTAATTGTACTTTTCTAAAATAGTGTGTGCAATTACTTTTAACCAAAAGTTTAGCTCATTTTAATAAATATATTTACTAATATTTGCACATTCATTCATATTCATACTTGGTAAAAACTTGAAGATATGTAAGGAATATTTTCCGTTAAGTTTAAATGAGTTTAAAAACGGGTCTCGAAATGATTAGGATCACATCAGAAATGGGAAAATGATTTATTTGATATGTTTTATTTACTGAAAAAATAGTGTAGGAGTACGTTGAAGCAATTTTCACTCATAAAATGGCTTGAAAATTTCACAAATAATTACAAAGGCACGGCAAGTAACACCATTGAAGTAAACATGAAATGTGAAAAAATTAATATATTTCCAATTAAAATATCTAACCATCCTTAAATCAACATAAATTTACTTAAGATACAAAATAAGCACGTCTTTGTTTTCAGAGAAACTGAACAAAATTGAGTAAGTTCATGCTTAAAACAAGATCAAACATCTGTCAGTGGGGTGTGAAACTTGTTTTCCCTTTGAATTAATTGGATTTTTTGAGCCCTTTGGCAGATATTTGTTCTTGTTTTAATCATAAACTCAGTTGATTTTAATCAGTTTCTCATAAAACAAGACTTCTTATCTTATGTCATTTTGCTTCTCAAGTAAATGGATCTTGATTAAAGAAACTTCAGACATTTGCACTTGAAAACAAGACAAAATCCTGAGGAAGAGCATCACTTTTTTTGCAGTGAGTTCAGAAGGTACAGTAAAAGTTATTTCCATATTCTGGTGGTCGGGAGCAGAGCTATTCAAGCCTTAAGCTTTTTTTTTTCCTTTTCTTTTTTGTAAAATTAATTAAAAAGTGATGGAGATCTGTTGAAAGTTGTATTTTCCAAATTGAAAGCATTGCTAATACAAGACATTTGCATTTAGAGACTATATTAGCTTACTGTGTTCCATTCAGTTTATTCCTTTCTTTACTTAGTCTTAAAAAAAGTCTTAAATTTACCTTCATAAAACATGCGGAAACCCTGAACTTCGAAAATTAAATTTTACAATGTATGTGAACTTTGTCAATGGCCTTATGAAAAGGCCCTTTATTTGTGAGTCTTCGAGCAGCGTCCCCTTCCAACAAAGCACAAAATGCTGATCCAAATACATTGTCTCAATTTTGAATAGTATGTCTGTTGTTCCCTTTCAGTCAGTCACGTTCTACGTTACGTCAGTCGTGACTGACGAATTGGGATCTCGCCCGAGAGCCCAATCACCTTCGAGTGTTAACTAAACAAGCCAATGACAGTTGGCATGCGTGTTTCGCACATCAGCTTTTCGCTTCGGAGCCGAGCCTTCTATGGCGTGCTGCAGCTGCCATTCTGCGGTCTCGCCGCAACCTCCCCTGGGCGCTTCAGCACTCTCTCTAAAAGAGTGCTTCCTTTTTTCCTAAAAGAGCAAATATCTAAAAGAGATCCACGGGCAACAGGCGTCTTTTTAAAGATGGCTTCCCGCTCGTGCGTTTCTGGATGTGGTCGTTTCCTGGCTTCATCTGATGGTCATGATCGCTGTGTCTCGTGCCTGGGCTTACAGCACGCTGAAACAGCACGCATGGATGAGTCATGTTCTGAGTGCGGGAACATGACCATCGCGACGTTGCGGTCTAGATACCTCCTCATTAACCGGGGGGGTATCCCACTTGCCATGCCCCGCTCTAGCTCCTCCGGTTCTCGGAGGGCTACTTCGGTTCATGGTCAGGGAGACCTGAGGGTCACGGTGAGAGTTTCCCTGTCGAGCACGTCTCCGCGGGCCTCTCATTCCTAGAGCATGTCGCACCACCTGGTGTTCCCGGACGAGTGTGCTGGGTCCTCGGACAGGGCGGGGTCCAGCATCTTGTGCGGAGCACAGGCGGATGACAGGATGTCGACCGCTGCATCGGAGGGCGAGCTAGGCTCTGGAGATGAGGATTCGGCTGCGCTACCTCTGTCAGGAAGAATGGCGTTGCCCGAGTCAGATCCAGAGCTGACCGCTATGCTTTCCTGGGCCGCCGAGAGTGTCGGGCTGCACTGGAGGCCTCCTCCTTCTCCCGAACGCTCGAGGCTGGATGATTGGTTCCGGGGGGCGCAGGACGGGCGTCGGCAGCCGCCTCCGGTTCCTTTCTTCCCGGAAGTGCATGAGGAGGTTACTGGAAGTCTTGGAAGGCACCTTTTTCTGCCCGAAACAGACTTGGTGCCTCCTCCGTCCTCACCACCCTCAACGGGGGAGCAGCCCAAGGGTATGTGGACATCCCCCCAGTCGAGCGCGTTATTGCTATGCAGCTCTGCCTGCAAAAGACGTTTTATCATTTAAACCCTGATTTTTGTGAAATATTTTGCTTGAAACATGTTTGTGCTATCTTTCTTTAACATAAGTGCCACTTTTAATCTTTCGTAATGACATTCAAAGGGTTGCTTAAGTGTTCACATACTTTTTGCAGCCACTGTTCACAAGTAGAGCTTTTTTTAGATAGTAGCAACTCAATGTGGAAGTGTTTGATTAGGATGTGCAAATTCACTTTCCTTTCATGTTGCTGCAGTGTAACTGGTTGTGTTTGACTTCTCTGTGTTTTGTGCAGCCGTCGTAAGACTGAGGATTCAACTGTAGCACCAAAAGAACAGCAACCACAAGATATATTTTCACAGTATTTCTCCTTTAAAATTTTTCAAGACACTCAACTGAAGAGCATGTGAAACTGCAGTTTTCAATAACCCATTCATCTGTTCTTGATATCTCACTGTGAGTTTGTTATTTTCCCTTTTGATATGGACATTTACTTGATTTAAAATGAGATGCACATTCATTTCATATAATATTCATAAATATGTCTTTTCTGGATGGACTAAAACTGTTGGAATACCAATGTCTTGCCAGTTTTGAAATAAATTGCACAGATACTTACATATATATTTGTATTATATTGTCTTCTTACAAACTATAAACCATCAATTGCGAAAAAAATAAATAAATAAAACATTTATATCTTAAATCTATACTTGACCTTGGTGAAAGGACTACATGTCTTCTAAAAGAATTGTTTACCCAAAAATGAAAATTAATTTAAAGTCATTATTTACTCACCCTGATGTCAGTCCAAACTGGTATCTGTTATTTTGCCCATAAAAAAAAAAATATATATATATATATATATATATATATTCACATCCTTTTTTCCTACCACCATTGTTTATAGTGACCAAAAGCTATCAAATTGGGCAAAATGTATTTTGCATTATATTGCATAATATTTCAAGTCCTCTGAAGTCATAGGAACAGAACTGGGGGAAAAACAGCAAGTAACACATTGACTCAAACATGAAATTTTTAGATAGAAAGACTGAAATAGTATTTTCTTGTAAAATGTACCTCAATAATCATTGGTTTATTTACAGCTTTAAATAAACGACGAAAAAATAGATTCTTTACATTTGTATGTGTATTTTATTCAAAAAGGCATATAGGTTTGGACCGAGGGAGAGTAAATAAAGACTTTTATTTCAAATTTTTATTTATATCTGAACATTTAAAACAAACATTCTCTTTATTGGTTGTCTACATTTAAAAACATCCTTAAATTCCCCATTTTAAGCTCTCTCTCTCAGATCATGTTCACAGGACGTGTAAACAAACATTAATATGTTAAGCGTTCAAGCCTAATTTACCTCGGTGCCAATGCTCTGTTCCTCTGTGAATAATATATGATTTCTGGGATTGACCTATAAATGCACAACAATTACAATATTTTGGGGGGAATATTCACATAAATGACTTGGCACCTGGAAGGAATTGCTGTTTGCTGTTGGGAGCTATACTTTTGCCAGAAATTTCAGCCATTTTGATGTTAATTCTTTGTGTTTTTGTGAACTACACAAGTTCAGATGTCTGCTTCATTCTGTGAGGTCTACATTCATATACAAAACATATCTGATTTACCTATTTTTGTATGTTATATATATATATATAAATTACAAAATATATATGAACAAAATGAGACTTGTTTGCTGTTTGCTGTTGGGAGCTATACTTTTGCCAGAAATTTCAGCCATTTTGATGTTAATTCTTTGTGTTTTTGTGAACTACACAAGTTCAGATGTCTGCTTCATTCTGTGAGGTCTACATTCATATACAAAACATATCTGATTTACCTATTTTTGTATGTTATATATATATATATAAATTACAAAATATATATGAACAAAATGAGACTTGTTCTCATTCAAAGGTCAAAAATATGCTTATTGTTATAAGAAGAACGCAGCAAACATAAATAGAAAAAAATATGTGCCGCCCTCATATAATTGCAGGAAATGAACATGTGTTGCATCATTAGTAGGACATTTTTAATTCCCCAAAATTGTCCAAGGTCTCGTGCAGTGCATCTTGTGATTGGCCGGTTGTCATCTTTTGGTGTCACATGAGCAAGACGATGATGTAGATGAGCAGCAGGCAGATGAGGATGAGGGAGAAGTTGATGATGAGATCTTGTAGGTTGCGTTTGGTCTGCGGGTTCACTTCGATGTTGGATGCCCTCCGCATGGCTGAGCGTGTCATGTGCTGCACCCTCTCCATCCTGATCAAGACTGCAGACTATTGGCAGTGAGAGGAATGGACGGACGGAGATGGGGGTGCTATTGCGTTCTTGTGGTGCTTTATGGTGAAAATGAGAGAACATTTTCTATTTTAAGATAATGATACAAGACTTAGAGACTTAGAAAATATACATATAACAGGTGATCACAAAAGTATTTATAGTAGGCTAAATCTTTTCTGATGTGGGTGACTCGATGACTCGATAACCCTCTGATGCATGTTGCCTACTACAGTCCACTGCTTCTTTTTTTTTACCTTTCAGGTTGTGATGGTGCATCCGTGCCCATAATTCTATATCAATGTTTTCTTGTTTTTGTATTTATGACAACATAAAATACTATTTTCTTTTGCAGTAGCGAGATGTACAACACTCTCAAAATCCATAATTTTGGGTAAATATAGCAAAAATAAATAGATTCGTTTTATATTAAATATAAATATGCATAAGATAAATAATAGATAAAATAACAAATATTACACACACATAAAGCAGTTATTTTTACCCTGTAAGATAAATGCATCATTTTGTAGAGGGAAAATCTTATTGTTTATATTATTTATTTATACAATTTATGTTGTTATTAAATTACAGTTAAATAATATATAATGTATTAATATTATTATTTATTATTTAAAATCCAATTTATTTGACTGAATTTATAAATGCACTATATATTTTTTTTAAACATTAAGGGATTTACTCTTAAAAGATCTATAAAGAATTTTGAGGAGTGGTAAAAATAAGTAAAAGTCTATATTTATATATTTATTTATAAATTATATATTTTATTTATGTATTAAAAAATCTAAGTAAATAAATACATATACTTTATTTATTTATTCATTTGAAACATGAAGCAATTTTTCTTTTCCTTTTCCTTCCCGATTTAATAATTCACGTATCGGGGGTTCATATAACTGATTAACAAATATATAAAAAGTAATTAAAAACACTACATGAAAATCCCATGTAGGCTATAGCCTAGATATCATGTGAATTTCATTCAAAGTTTTCTTTATTAGGAATTCTTTAATAATAACAACAAGAACAGGAATCTTACAATCTGATTGTTATTTCATTCTTTTTATTCATAGCATGCATTTGTCTTGCATATTTGCGATTTGCCAAAGTGATGTGATTAGCATGAATACTCTGTAGCTCAAAGAGTACTGATTGTTGTACTCTTACCCTCTTTAGGGCACTCGTGTTAAAAGCTGTGAATGACATTCGTGAGTGTCGGCCACTTGTCTAACAGCTAAAGCTATTCTCTTATCGGCTGTCTCCAGATATATGAGCTCAATAATTCCAGACTGCACATCTAAAGTTCACTTACAGTCAGTCGAGTCACTCTAAATGTCAACACGTCTTTAAATTATATTGTAGTCAACCATTGATTGTTGATGCATTCTTTCAGGTCCTGTTTTCCCTCTACTGAAACTGATGTACAAGTAATTCCAAGTAAGACATTCTTTAATTATTTTCCAGGAACAACATTCCTATTAACAAAGTTAATTGATCATTAAAGAGACAAGGTAGATAGACAGCCTGTCTTTCTCTATTAGGCTTGAACTAGATTTTAAAGGGATAGTTCACCCAAAAATGAAAATTCTGTCATCATTTACTCACCCTCATGTCGTTCCAAACCTGTATAAGTTGCTTTCTTATGTTGAAGAAGAAAGAAGATATTTTGAAGATTGCTGCTAATCAAACAGTTGGTAGTTGCCATTGACTTCCATAGTAGGAAAAAAAATACTATGGAAGTCAATGGCAACCACCAACTGTGGTTGAACTATCCCTTTAAAGCAGCACTATGTAACTTTTTCTGTGTTCAAAATTTGCTAAATGTGTATAACGAGTGAGTACATCATGAATTCATCTTCCAAACAGCTTTTTTGTCTTATTCCGAATCACTACGGTACACTTATAATAAGTACTTATATTTGGACTATTGTAGCCTGGTCGGGTCGTCACCGCTGCGGAGTAACACATACCTGCGTGAATCGCCATAGACATAAACTTAGAGAAGTAGCTCCGGTTGGAATGTTCTTCCGCGGGATGTGTGCAGTTCTGTTTATTAACCTCTAGAGCGCCAAAAGTTACATAGTGCTGCTTTAAGAGCGAAACACTTAACCCGAGTGATAAAAATAAAAATAGCAAAAGCAGAGCCTTATGAACTTGATCTTGTTTTAAAGGCTCCAAAAGCCAGTGTTTATCAGGGGAGGCCCTGCATTCCAGTCCTGTGATCCAGTGACAATTATAACTGCTTAGCTGCAAAGTAAACACTAGCATCTGTGATCAGGATGGATTGAAGTTTAATAAAAGCCCACTTTTATTCCATTTCAAAAGACTATACAATGATCCTCTGTACTGGCTGTAAAAATAAAAATAAATAAAACGTCAACACACATTTATATTATGTTAGAGTTGATCAAATTATTGTTTGACTTTGACCCACTGTTTTCAGTTCGCTGATTTGCATGGAAACAAATTTTATGAAAGTGGTATTTCAGTTCAGGATGCAAATGTGCTTTTGATGTTCTTTCTAGACAGTTCATCCTCTGTGTCCTTCAGGTTTGAATGCATTTTTAATCTCTTCCACTATTGTCTGATGTAAACCACATACAATGTCATGGAAATCTTCAGAATCAATCTTTTAATATTAAAGCTAATATTTTGACGTTATTTTACTAAAATAGTTGTGATAATTCAATTCAAGATCTGTTAAACTTAATATTGTCTTGATTAAAGTCTTTTTCTTACCCGTAGAATGGCAGCTGAAGGAGGAAGCAGTCCTTTCAAATATAAGGTAAAGTGTGAAACAGCAGGAAAATGTTGGATGTAGACACTCAGGCTACAAAGTTTATAGGAGAAACTGAAAGGGGTGGGGAAAACAAATGGGAGGGCGGTAGATGCAAAGGGAACACATCCCATCTCAAGATCACAGGACGGGACTGTTTGTATCTGCTCCTCCATCCAGTGTTTGTTGTGATGACACACGACTGATGGAGGAAGTCAGTGCTTGATCGTTATCCTTCCAAACTCTAGTTTATAGTAAATAAAGAGGAGTGATAGACTAGGATTGTTAGATTTTGCAATGAAACAAACATATATATATATAATATAACAACAGAATGAATACAAATATGACTGTGAATATTACAAGTCATTTTGAGGCTTAAAGCATTATCACTGTCTAAAATAAATAAATAAATATCAACATTTCTTCTCAGCCAAATTTATTTTACCCCCAAAAGGCTAACAAGAAGTGAAAACCACTTTATTTTCTATAAAAATAAAAA